CCGAGACAGCCAGATATCTCGGAATGTTTTACACCTCATTAGGCAACAATGTGTTGTTGCCAGGGTGAATTATATCGGGCATGAGACGCCCGTCAAGACAAATGGCTCGAACCGGAGGTAATTGTGGGCTTTTATTAGCTCTGGTTTCTCCCGTTGGCTGCGAATCGCGCAACGCCGGGAGACGCCAGTGGCGCAGCGACAGCAACCCTTCTAACTCCTCCTGCTCCTTTCGTCCCTTGCATCCACCTCCACCCATCTCTCCTCCACCCTGCCGCGCCGCGCTACGCCGTACCGTTGCTTTCGACGGTGCGTAATTACTCGCGTGACAGTAATGCGGGAATGCGGCGAATCTCGCCTCTCTAGTGCCTGCAGAGTCATCCCCTTGTATTCAGTTTCTGCGCTTCCTGCGACGCAGTCGTCGCTACGTTCATCGTCATTACTTCATAGCCGCCTTCGACTTTTAATCGAGTCGATCGCAACGGAATTAGGAAAAATCTCAAGAGTCACGTTGACAAAAATTTAATGGTTATAATCCCTCGACTATGCGAAGCCGCCAATTGCATTATAGAAGACTGAGTACCGGTAAGAGAGATTCGTACATTTTCGCACATATCTATAAGATATCAAACTACAAATTAATATACAATTTTGTAAAATTTTTTATCGTATCACAAATAAAATAAATTTCTAAAAATGATAACGTACGTGATAAAAAATCATTATATTTACAGCGCGATAACAAGGGGAAGTTACACCGTAGACAGAATCGTTGAGCGAGACGGAGTTAGCGACAGGAAGTTGTGGAATAAGATTGTCATTTCTCATGTGCCCTCTCGCTCTTTTTCGACAGCGAGCGAAACTATGCCCGTTTTCGAGGGGAAACTACAGGCTTTTGAAAGACCATATTTTCACGACGAGAGAGCCGCTATCCACACGTTATTACGAGGTACGAGTCGCTCGCTACATATGCGGGCCAAGCTTGTCTCCCTCTTTCGCTCGTTGCCCCCGCGACTCATGTATTTATGCATTTCCACCGACTGGCTGCTCCTTGACTCGCATTCACGCATACATGCGGGCGGAAACTACGTCGAAAACACGCGTAAATCGGCCATATTTGCTTCGCGCAATAAAGAAAAATAATATAGTTGATATATGTATAGAGATTCAAGGAGCTTGAATTTCTTGAAAAATGACATTAGCAAGATATACACATAAATACACTGCACGTAGGATGTCAAGGATCAATTTAAATTGCAATTATAGCCACAGTGTGATGACGAGAACATAGAAAGTTTTTCATATTATGGATTAGAAATCGATTGTCATGGCTTCTGCCAGACATTCATGGTTGCCTTTCATTACACTAGAGCCATATTTACTCATTGCATTCAATTCGGATTCACTTACGGTATGATTTACTCGACGAAGGCGTACCTGGAAGCTGGTGATGGGAATTTATTGGAGGCAGAGGTTGCCCTAAAAGCCAAAGCGCGATGCGCAGAGGCGAGGAGAGAGAAGACAGTGTAGAAGAAGGATGGACGAAGAGAGAAACCATGGTAGGGACAACAGACTAAGGAAAAGGAAGATAAAGGGTACGTCCTTTCCTCATATTCTGTATCCTGTATGGCTCATAAAAGTTTGTAAGGACGTCTTCCGAAATGCAGATTTATCATGATGCTTTTGTCTGCGAGTTTGTTACTTTTTAGAATCCTTCATGATTATAAGTAACAATATTAGACATAATGCGGCAGTAAAAATATATTAAATATCGCTCATTTTCTCTCATAATTAATATTTTATCGAAAATTTATATAATTAAATATATTATACCATATAAATTAAATTAAATTAAATTTTAAATTAAATTAAAATTTACAATTTTAATTAAAATTGTATTAAGGATAATTCTACTTGAATTTTTTCTTTTTACAACAAAGTTGAAGAAAATGCAATTTATATAAGTGGCATTCATAGTAATAAGTTTCTTTAACTATATTGATGTTACAAGTTAGCAAATGGGCACCGATATATTTTCGGAAAAATATCTATAGAAGAGAGTTTATGGATAATTTATATCAGTTTGGGGAGAAAAGGCTTTAAGAATATACATTATATAAGCAGTAAAGTACATGATGTTCCTTTATTCAGCAATATTGAATTTTTATTCACCTCCTGTCGGCCATACAGATCGGTTTAGCATTATTGTGTTGTAAAATATATGTGCAATTTAAATCAGAATGATAATTGTATTTATACAGACATGTATGATTCTGAAACATTTGTTCGTTTGACCTCTAGTTATAAATCATCCGATCTAACATATTTCCGATTGACACAACAAATAGCTTTTCATTTGTTGAATAACATCTCTATTGCATTATTCAAGACACTCTTTTATATTTTTTAGACTGCCAAAAGTGTTATTTAAATATGTCAATAGAAAATATAATTTTTTAATTCCAATTGAGGAATCGTATAAATAACAAATAGATAAATAATGTGAATTATTTAAATAAACTGCCTCACGCTTACACTATATTTTCTAATAAATATATTGGTTCGTGACATGTAAGCTTACGTAATACGAGATTAGTATTCATATGAAAATATAGAAGAGAGCCGCGAGAATAGCAAAGCAAAAGGAGCATTAGTTAGGTTTGCCAATTTACGCGCGGAGCGAGATTTCGGTCGATCGACGGGGACAGAGAATGCCACAGGGTGGAACAGCGGTTGGGCAGGAAGAGAGAGAGAGGACAGGGGATAGAGGACACAACCCCCCATGAACCCGAACATGAATTAAAGTTTTAATTTCTCTAAATCACTGTTCGCCCTCGAGCGCTTTCCACCAGACGGTCCGTTACTTATAGCCTTTGCCCTTTTTACCGCCTTCTTTTTTCCCATTCGCCTCGATCTTACCGACGACGGCCCGACCCTCGCCAATAGGGAGAAATCGATATGCACTTATCCGATGACTCTTGAGACCCCGAATAACGAGTCCTCCCTCCTTTCCTTTTTTTCGTTTCTCTTTTTTTCCTTTTCTTTTCCGCGCACTTCCGAACGATAAGCAGAACCACCGGAAATTGTCCGACCTCGAATATTTCGGTCTTACCGAGAGATTACCGGAGATTTATTTATATGTATATTTATATATATATATATATATATATGTAGTTTGATCTATATTTACTCACAAGAATGCACGCGCCACAAATCTCTTCTCTCTACACAAGTTCATTTTCTTGCTCCGACATCTGTACGTCTTTGGTATATTGTACATTCGGTACTTTTTAAATATAAGTTACGATAAAATTTCTCCAGAAAAAAGCTGAGCTATCTAATTGTCTTTTACTGAAAAAGATTTCTAAATTATTTATATACAAAAAAATGCAAAAATTGTCAAAGATTTTAATTAACACTGTACCTTAATTACTGTTACTTATTTTTTTCGATTATTATTACATATAAGATTAAAATCTTCTTATACTGTACGAACGAGACAATTTATTTCGAATTATTATTCTATTTAAAGCTTACAAATATTTGTACATGCTCTTATTTGTATACTGCGCCAATCAATTACGCTGAATAATTTGAAATGGCAATAATTGCACAATGCAAACAAATTCAAAAATCGTTTAATGCGCGGTATCGCGAAACGCACGGTGGCAATCCCGTCGTTCGCCCGTGTTTTCGAGCCAAAAGGGAGAAATGGGGGTTGTTCATTTAAAATCATGACGTCGGTCGGAGGGCGCTAGCACGGCGGAGGCGTTAGTATTAACGTTAGGTACCGCCGGTCGGGCCACCTACAAGAAGTTCGCACAGCCTCCTCCTTCTCCCATCTTGCTACCACCCTGCTTTCCCTACCCGGGTGACATATTGTTTCCATTCTGCTCTCTCGGGCTAAAGCGCAATAAAAAACTGGCATAAATATCACCTCTCTCTCCCCGTGCATCTTTCTACGTGGCCCCTATACCATCTATGCGGTGCTATGGAAAGCCAAGCCGGCGACAGTAAGAGAGAAGAAACGCCCGATAACGAGGGTGTAGCACCATACGAGAACACCATTGCTGTATTGCAGGACTAATTTGCCTGAGTGGCTTTTTGGATCGCGGAAAGGAAGCTGCAAGGCTCCGCGGTCTCATTTATCGTGACTTTTTATTTTCTTAGATAATATAGAGATATAAACCGCTGTATTCTTCGTTACGCACATAGCAAATTATATTTAATATTTATTTTATTATATAAATTTCAATGCTTTTTGTAAAATATTTTATATGTGACACATATTATTTATTTGCTACAACAATACAATTTAAGAAACAAAATTTTTCTATTATAGAAAATAAATTTCAATGTTTTAAGCAATAAAATTTTATATTAATTTTGAAATTTTAGTGTGATAATTGTTTGTGTAAAGAAATAAAATATGTTTGTTTAAAGTGTATGTTCTTTCTTTTTTCTTTATGTTTCAGTTTTTTTTTTTTCGATAAGTAACTAAAAAAATGACAATTTTTTAGTTGTATACCGAGCGATATGATAGCCATACGATAATACGCATATCTATAGTATTTATAATTTCAAGCAAAAGATTATATTTTAAATATTCATGTGTTGTCGTGTTTAATTTATTTTTTCAGTTATATTTTCACGTTTAAAAGTTAAACAATATTATTTTAATAAAGTAAAAAAAATTGTGCATTTAGACTTAAACTTAATTTACTACATTATAGAAATAATAAATTGTCATTATATTGTTCTAAAATATCTTAATCATGTTATAAAGATAAATTTCATTTTATCCATAATAGAAATGTATTATTTCGACGCGCGTCTCTACGATCCTAATTTATTATCTACAAGCAGGAGGAAAGCAGAGCTATTCTAGTAGAGATAGATATCAGATGGAGATGTTTGATTTTATCCATCTTGATAACAACATCTGAAGTACCATATAGCAGACGGCTCTGAAATTTATGTTATATACATATTATATTACTTACAGCGTAACAGGTTCTTCGGGGCTAGATGGCGAGATGGAAAGTGACATGGTAGTAACAGTCAGGCATGATCGTGATGTTCCCGGTGATCTGACTCGATCGTCCACCTGCAACAAAACGAACGCAGCACGGTCATTCGTGACACTATGATTAATTGATGTCGTCAGTTTCTTGTCGCTGAAAATCATTTTATTTTCTGAGAATTCATTACAGTCGCTTTAGCGGCTTGCGAATTCTTCCACGTTGTGATAGGGGGGAGGAAGCGTGGAAAAGGAAAGGCCGTCGAATTCTTCGTGCGATACTTGCTACCGTCAATGGGGAATTGAGCAACAGGTAGAGCAGACATGTCCTCGAGGCATCATGCTCGGCAGAGCACACGCGTGATTCACTGCATAAGTGAGTTATCAGAAGCACTTTTTTTCGCTTCTCTCTGCTCAAGCTCAAACGATAGGAAAGCAAGATTATGCATAAGATACGTCGCGGACTCTTTCGGCTATATTTATTAAAGATTGAATAATATAATCTAGTAATAAAAGCTGAAATTAAATATTTTTATCTTATAAAAATATAGACTTGCTCAAAAATTTCGAAATAATCAACTTTTATATATATATATATATATATATATATATATA